CCAAAAAAAATCTTCTTTGGGGCAGCAGCCCCTCAAGGACCCGGGACGCTAACTTAGCCCCCTCTTCTCTCTTCCTCAAACCCAGGTTCCTGGACGAATACGCCAAGTATAACCTGACTTTCTGGGCCATAACAGCTGGGAACGAGCCCACAGCTGGAGACATTATCTTCTACCCTTTCCAATGCCTGGGGTTTTCCCCCGAACACCAGAGAGATTTCATCGCCGAAGACCTGGGACCGGCCTTGGCCAACAGCAGCTACAAGGGCATCGAGCTGATCATTTTGGATGACCAGAGGGTGATGTTGCCTTACTGGGCCGAAGTGGTAAGTCGGCCACCGCCACGGACGGAATTCAGCGGAGCCCCTTTGTTTTTAAAAGGGGGGGAAAATGTGTTGGGTTTTTGGCACGCCACACTTTTAAATGGACTGTATATAGGCCGTTCTGGGATGTTAACGGAGCACGGATTTAGGGGTGTTAAGTCATGGTGCTCGTTACATAGGTTAGCATGCCTGTTGTTATATCAAGGACCCATAGTTGTCCTCCTCTTCCTCCTCCTCTCTGCAAACCCTTCTGTCTTCTAGCACTGATGATGTTACCTAGTTGGGTCATGAAACGTCTGCAAGAAAACCACCCAGCTTAGACAGCACCAAGGACCCTGCAGCTTGGTGCTTTTCTTGCAGACGTTTCATGACCCAACTAGGGGACATCATCAGTGCTACAAGGGACTGAGGCTTGAGGACGACGTCACCTGGTTCTGTCATAAAACGTCTGCAAAAAAAATACCAAAACCCCACAGTCCTCTTGCTCCTCCTCTCTGCAAACCCCACTCCTTTTCTAGCACTGATAGTGTTACATAGTAGGGTCATGAAATGTCTGCAAAAAAGCCACCCAGCTCAAAGACCACCAAGGACTCCACCGTCCTCCTTTTCCTCTCCACAAACTCCACCCTTAGAGTACTGATGAAGTTACCTACTTGAGTCATGAAACGTCTGCAAGAAAACTACCCCACTCGGAGAGCACCAAGGACTCCACAGTTCTCCCCCTCTTCCTCCTCCTTTCTTCTTCTCCTCCTTCTCCCCCTCCTTTTCTTCTTCTCGTCTTCCTCCTCCTCCTCTTCCATTCCAGCCCTGATAACGTTACCTGGTTGGGTCACGAAAGGTCTGCGGCAAAACCCCTAGAGACCAACCCACAGAAAAACCTCCCAACTGTGGGCTTCCCAACTTCCTTTACCATCAAACATTTCTCAAAAAATTCTGGGATTTCTTGCTCGCCAACCTAAAGGGGGATTGTATCACCACCTATCGCGCCCAATGCCAGGACATAACCCTTCGGTCTGACTATTTCCCCCAGGTTCTCAAGGACCCTAAGGCTGCCCAGTACATCAACGGGATCGGGATCCACTGGTACCTGGACTTCTTGGCCCCCATCGACCTGACGCTGTCCATGACCCGTCACCTCTTCCCCAACTATTACCTGATCTCCACCGAGGCCTCTACGGGCTCCTATTTTTGGGAGCCCCGGGTGGTGCTGGGCGGCTGGGACCGCGGCAGCAAGTACAGCCACAGCATCCTGACGGTACGGGCAGGGACCGTCGTCGGAGTCTTAGTTGGCTGGGATAAAAGGAGGGCAGAGAGAGAGAGAGAGAGAAAGAAGAGAGAGAGAAGAGAGGGGGGAGAGAGAGGAAAGAGAGAGAGAGAGAAAGAAGAGAGAAGAGAAAGAAGAGAGAAAGAGAAGAGGAGGGGGAGAGAGAGGAGGGGGAGAGAGAGAGAAAGAGAGAGTGAAAGAAGAGAAAGGAGAGAGAAGAGAGAAGAGAAAGGAGAGAGAGAGAGAAAGAGAGAGTGAAAGAAGAGAGACAGAGAAGAAAGAAGAGAAAGGAGAGAGGAGAGAGAGGAGAGGAGAGAGAGAGAGAAAGAGAGAGTGAAAGAAGAGAGACAGAGAAGAAAGAAGAGAAAGGAGAGAGAAGAGAGAGGAGAGGAGAGAGAGAGAGAAAGAGAGAGTGAAAGAAGAG